CAACTTATTTAACTTTAAAGCTTTTGCTTTCATTTCGAAACCTTTATAGCTTTCCTCTTCGATATCAAAATGCTAATAATCAAGACTGTAAATTTTACTGTTGCACAGTTCAGAAATATTCTTAGAATAGCATAAAAGAAGCTAACAAAGCAAGAACAACAACAACGACACACTTACATACGCACACGTCAGAAAAGTTGTCAAGAAGTTGAAGCCAAGGGAAACTTTTTGCATGGGGAGGCGGCATTAGAAATGACTTTATCACTTGTTTCGAATATTTGTGCTAGTCATGTAACGCACTTGTAATTGGAGAGTCACAAAAAATATATAATTGGATTTAGCTTTTTGTTTGTCTGTGCCTAATTAAATTTGCAAATAAACAAAATTCCATTTGGGAAAATACATACATTTTATGCTTTGCTTTAATTAAAAATCAAAATGCGATAAGCCACGAGGAATGCAACGTTCTTACCATTTACCATTACTTCAGAGATGAAAGTAAGCAGTAACTGCGGAGCCATCCACCACCACCACCAACTACAACAACAATTACTCTTTCGTGCTTGACTTTCCGCCTGGCCCAAATGCCACAATTTCCGCCTTGCTTGCTAACTTTTATACCATAAATCGAGCAGACAAGACTGGTGCACAGTGGTCCAAAATGCAAATTCTTCGAGAACCAATTATAAAAACTCGTTATGTAATTACTAAGCCGAGTGAATTATTTTCCATACCACTGTGCTGAAATGAGGAACGAAAACTTTGTGGATGCTGGCGCCGTGCTATTTTACAGTTTACGGCTGCCGCAATAGGCAGACGCCGCAATTGTGCCGAGACCGTTGTTCGTGCAACACTCATTAATTTGTCTGCCGAGTGGGCTGAGTAAGAAGAAGAGAGACAGAGAGAGAGAGAGAGGAACACGAACAGGAGCGAATGGACCGCTGGACCACCCGCAGCTTCGCTAAAGTGGAATTAAGCTGCTTATAAGTAGCCACCAAACTAAATTAAGAAATGTAGCGCAACTTGAGTTGAAGCCCGGCAATTACAAGAGGGCAGCAACCTTCCGATAAAGTTCAAAGCATTGCGAACCACTCTACCTGACTATTTATGTCTTTTGAAGTGCTCGACCATTAATGCTTGTCCATTGTTTATGGCGCATAATGAGCGTTAGCTGCCGTTCCCAAGATTAGAAGTGCAGGCGCCCAAAGATGAATGCTGTGGCTTTAAATTTAAAGTGCCATGGTAAGGAGCACACAGCAGCACACGAGTAACAAATGCGTGGCATGAGCATGCAACATAATTCACTTCATTTTGTCGACTGCTGCGGTAGACAGCGAAGAGAAACAACAAGCATGCGAGTAACTACATGCGCCACGCCCCAATAAGTATGCTACACGAGCAAAGGGTTGAGAGATACAGCAAAAAAGGAAATGCAACTATAAGCGCAAAAATATGTGTAACACACAAAGAAACTATGCATTACAAACATACAAGGCATGCAACGCACACTTCCAATGCACATTTATCATGTGAGCCAACGAATGGTTTGGTTTGGTTTGGTTTCGGGAGGGGTCGAGGGTGGCAGCCAAAACATGCCACCATATTAATGGTTGCTGATCAAAGCAAGGCATGATAAACTAAAGTTGCAAACAATGTTTTTACAAGGAATCACAGGAAATAAGTAAAATACGTCTCAATCAGTCACAATGTATTGCCCAATAGAACTCATCCTTGAATAGTTTTAAATTTTTGTATTAAAAGGAAGAATTTATTTATATTTATATTCCAATTATCAAATATAGGCATAAGTATAAAATTTTGCATTTAAATAATAAGCAGTAAGTAATTGTAAAATCATATTCATAAATGAAGCTCAGTACTTGAACCTAAAAGTACAATTTAGATTGAAAGAAAAAGCATTGCTTTTCATTTCTGAGTGCTCGCCGTTGCTTCAGCAACTATTGTTGTTGTCTTTGCGGCTTGTGCTGACAACATAAAGGACCAAAATAGAATACAAGCCCAAACCAGTGCCACGACCACAATGCATATGCGTTATATGTTTTTCGTACCAGCCCGATACCAAAATCCAACACAAAGCACTCGGCACAAGGGCAACAAAAGCAAAGCACGTAAAGATATGCTTTTATATCGATTGATAAACATGCAACGCGTATTTCCGGAAATTTAATCAGTTTTCGTGCTTAGGCAACTTTCAAGCTCCAAACAGAGAGAGAAATATCATACAAAAATACTATACAGACTATCGCAGACTCAGACATACTCGCACACAAAAGGCAAAGATATGAGAGGAATGTCTGGGTAAGGGGTACGCGGGTAAATTGTTCAGCAGTTGGTAAAATGGAAATGAAAATGTGTGAGGGGATGTCCTCTTTTCTGTTTGCTGCTTTATTTTCTTGGCATTGTTATTCGAGTATATTGAAACGGCTGCTGCTCCAGCTGTAAGTCAGTATGCTTTTGGGCATGATCTGGCCAAGTCCGTTCAACAGACGAAACTAAAGCTAAAGCATTTTTGCTTTGGCAGTGTGAATCAACTTAAAACTTCAGCCAGTTCTTTTGGCATTTGATTAGGTAGAGTTATCAAATGTTGAAATGCTTTTTTTGACTTTTTTCATTATTGCATCAAAACTTTGTTGGCCCAAATTGCATTTCGACATTGCGATGGCTGGCAAGTTTGATGAAAAAATAGTAAATGTCGATTTAAGTGTCTACATATTGTAAAGTTATTTAACTAAAGACGTGTAAAGGTGTAGGCTATGAAATTTAAATGAAAATATATTGTCTAAGATAGACCTTAGAAGTAGAAAGCTAAGTAAGCTTAAGTCAGTTGACTTGAAGTAAATCCATCATTTGCATTTGTTTATCAAAACTAAATGTAAAAGCTCAAACATATTGGTAATGGAAGATTTTACAATCTATTTGAACGGACGATGGTTGCATCACATTAATATCGATAGTCATTAACATTGCACTCGATCGTGGCTTAATAAGTAAAAAGAGGAACGAGTTCGAAGAGTATGGGCGAAGCGAATGGAGGTATTGTGTGTGTGCCGAAACAATTTGAAATTTAATCCTTGTATCATATTATAGGATAAGCTTTGAAATATTAATAAAAGGAATTAACGTAACACCTCATCCTTACCGCTACAAACGAGGTAGCGACACAACAGGTAGAATAAAATGCGCAAGAAATGCAATTCATGTAACAGCAAAGTTTCCACAACAAATTTCCCAACAATTACTAGAAGTTCATTTGGTGCAACAAGAATACTTGTAATATAATTGAATGAATTCCAAAATATAAATAAAACATGTTAAAATACTGTTACTAGTGAACACAGAACTATAAATTCTTAAGACCGTAAAGGATTATTAACCATGAGTATGGCAAGCAATGACAAAGCAAATTCTTACATTTGACAAATTTATATTTTGTATGTTGAGGAAATTGTTGTAAATTGTTTGCTTTATACTTTTTCCTCTGCATATATTCCTTTCTTTTCGTATATGCCCTCAACTGGCTGCTCAACAATAAGCAAAATGTATTCTGCCACTCCTTTGACACTTGCAAACAAACGGACACAATTATCCATTGTCATACAGCATGACTTAGAGTATTTACCATCTTGGAAACAGCTATCATTGCTACCACTTGATGATGTTATTGTTTTATTAAAATTTAGCAATGCCTTCGTATTTTACAAACAACCACGTCTCTTGTTTATTTATGCGCCAGTCTATACATTTCAATGTATTGTTTGCTTAAAGGCAAGTAAGTGGAGTGTAGGGACGCAAGAGCTTGGCAAATTCATTGCCAGCTATTTGCATAAATAAATTACAGCAACAAGGCGAACGAGCAAGACACACACAGCGCCTAAGCTCGACTTGGCCCACAGGCGTTAATAAAATATGAAAACAACTCAATTTGCGGGAAACAATTAACTCAACTGAAGGCGTTAGCGAGCCATGTTTTCCTCCATTTGCTGTGAGCATCAAATATCGAATCGATGAGGCACGCACTCAAAATTGCGTCGGCATCTATACGCGCGTGTGTGTATCTATACAGTATGTATGAGATGGAGAGTATGTATGTGTAAATCATTGAAGAGGAAAGGACGCCAACTAATTACTGTGCTAATGATCTGCATAATAATTTTCTTTCACTTGGGGGCGCTCCATAGTCGAACGTGGGCGCAATATAATTAAAAGTTGCTCAGATTGCCAAGCGCCGAACTATGCAAATTCTTAAATAAATTGTTTTCGCACAGACAATTGCCTAATGTGCATTTAAATGATGCGATGCGCCACTTACACTAGCCTACAAACACTTTTAGGAAGCAGAACTATTTTTCTAATTAAAAAACAAATATTTCCTCCAACGTTTGCTCTGAAAATAAGTATAAAAATTTAACATAGACTAATCGAATTTTAAACAGCATTTATTTATTAGTCAATTATCTTACCAAGTGAGAGATGCTTGTTTTATAGAAAACTAGTTTCAATATGCATGTTGTTGATAATAATAATGTTGAAAATTATAAGAAAAAATCATAGTAAATGGTATTTGAATGGAAATTAAAAGGTTTTAAATCTTTTTTATAAAAATTGATTGAATACTATGCTGGTTTCTTCCGGGCACTCTACCGTATTATTTGATTGAAGGGCGATGTACGGACGGCTTATAAAATAAATACTACCGTAACAAATAGGTTCTCAATTTGAATACTCACCCCATAAAAAGTTACCATCGATCTCGAAGTCCTCTCTAAGAGGTCACCACTTTGTATTCTCCTTTTTCTCATATGCTTATAATTGTAATAACTACATTGGGAATACCCAACAAACCAGCAGCTACAAATAAGCCACAACCCGAACCTAATTATGTTGCCTAGTGCTATTAATAATCGTTTGTGCGACTTCAAGAATGCCATAGCAAATGTCTAATGAAAAGTCCTTCTCTCTACTCATTTTGCCATTTGCAGCAACCATGAGAGCAGCATCTGCCTGCAGCAATAGACAGATAGGCAGTTGGCACTCGTAAAGTCAGCGGCGAGCACGTGTGCGCCTAAAAGCAGGCAACACAACGTTGTCGTTGGCGTCGTTGCAAAAACAAAAAATGCCTGCTTGCATGACAATTGTAGCGTGCAGGCATTTAGACAACGCAACAGCAGCAACAGCAGCAACAACATCAGAAGCAACAACAACAAGAGTTGGAGCTCTGTGCTACGTACGTGAAGCGTTTGTTAACAAGTTGGTGCTGCAGCGACGTCGTCTGCCGCAAGGACACAAGCATACAAGGACACTGGCATAGAAGACAGCAGGCTTAGCACCTGCATTACAGCGCAGACAACGTCCTACGTGCAGAATAAGTAAGTACTCACAGACCCTCATACATACATGCGTACACACATACGAGACCCTAAATTGGGCAAAAGCCACACACGCACACACACACAAATGAGAGACGTCAAGTGCATTACTCGAAACAAAAACTGAAAAGGCCAAGCAGCCAAGCAGTTGACAAGAGAGCGCTCAAAAAGCTCGAGCACGCGTTACCTACACAGAGGCAGGCAGCCGTAAAGCGCAAGCCAATGGTCAAGATGGTGGCATACTCTCATATAGTAGAGGAGATTCGACTTAAAGTGACGCTTGAAAGAAATTCACAAAACTACTTTTTTAATCCAAGCAATTGTTTATGTCAAAAGGTAGGACCTAAAGTAGAAATATTCCCAAGCATGCTTAAAGAGCTGCTTGCAGAAAAGAAGAAAAGCTATCTTTTGATCAAATTTAACTTAATATCACAGTCTTTTCGCCGAAAGGTTTTAACAAAAAAACAGAACAGTTCATAAGAAAATGTAACAATTAGAAAACAATAAACAAACAAACCAAAGCAGGAAGATTTTGTTGAGCTGTTATGTTAAATTAAAAACTTGGGACACCGTTTTTATATTACCTTAAGAGTTGGATAGTTTCATCTAAAAGAAAAATTTCCTAAAAATTTGAAGAATTTTCGATTAATGAAGATGATCCTAAAAATGTTGGTTGTATTATGCGGATCAGATTAAAATTAATTAATCAAGAATAACTTAGAATACGAATTTGAAATTTAATTAAAATTATCTTGGTCATAAGAAACATGGAATATATGAAAGACATTCATAATAATACTTATGTATTAAATTCTATTATTGCTATATTATTAATAACTATAAATACTATATTCTATGCATTGAAAAAATCGAATACTTTTCCAATATTTTGTGGCTTTTATCAAATATTTATTGCAAAAAACCAAAAAAAAAATTTTAAAACAATAACAAATATTTGTTTGATTATGACAGTACCATATAATTTAAATTTTTAAAACGAGCTAATAACAAACATTGTAATACTTGTTATTTAAATAACTACAAAAATTTAAATATCTTGAAAGAAATTAACATGATTTTAATTTATTTATGACAGCTATCTTGGTGTTTTAACTATAACCTAAGTGCGAAGTTATTATAGCTATATCGTAAATGTTTTAAATTATATTCAGTTTTCAAGCGTCTCCTTATTTCCTATAACATTAATATTCAGGTATACTTTAATTTATTTTCCTCTTTTTTTTCAACGTACTTTTGCACCTCATATCAGCATTAAATTCGCTACAGAAATCAAATGATTTATTTAGTACGATATATATTTAAGTACGATAAATTCATAATAAGCCTCTTTTTATAAAATAATTTTTATGAATACTTCAGCAGTATCTCTTTATACTCTTTGCAGCTCACTTAACTGCCGTAAAGGAAACAAAAAGCGGTTGCAGATTAAATTATAAAGTATATTGGAAGTGAAAAAAGAAGGCCTTTGCCACAAACATCAATATTGTGGTTAATTAAAAAACAACAGCAACAACAATAGCAAGAGTAGCAGCCACAAAGCTACCAAGTTGTCCAACAAAAAGAACAACAATATTGGGAGGAGCATTCTGGAAAAGGCCAACGCGCCGTTTTGACCAATAATAATAATGGTAATGTTGCTGCAATTTAAGCGACAACTGCCGCCAGCAGCAGCAGCAACACGGAGGCGTGAAACAACAACAACAACAACAATCAGAACACGAACGCGTGCACGCACAAAAGCACAGCAGTGTCATAAAGTCACAGCAACAACAGCGGGAGCAGCCGCGGCAGCAACATCGACGCTGCTGCTGCTGCTCATAACGCGTGTCGGCAGCAGCGCCGCCATTACCTACAACAATGGCGTCGGCAGCATATCCGGCAATTTAAGCGCACAACAACAGCAGCGCAGCAATCTTGCAACAAGTAACAGCGGTCTCGTATTGATCGCCTCCAGTAGCATCTCAGGGAGCAACAGCAACAACAACGGGAACGTGAACGTGAACGGCAACAACGCAGCAACTTCGAGTGCCGTACCCTCATTGTCGCTTACGTCATCATCGTCATCAGCCTCGAGCTCATCATCATCAGCGACCAGTTCGTCATCAGGTGGCACAGGTGGCAGCAACCGCAGTAGTCGCTTGCCCAGCAGCAACAGCAACAGCGGAGGCAGCGGAGGCAGCGGCAACACCAACAACAATGTTAATCATGATCAATTACCCGCCCAGCTCTCATCGCGCATCATTCACACACGCAATGGTGCCATCTCTGGCATAATTGTCCAATTAGACGGACGACATTTGGATCCGGTAGAGGCATATCGCGGCATTCCATATGCATCGCCTCCCGTTGGCAATTTGCGTTTCATGCCCCCCGTCTCGGCGGCCATGTGGTCGGGCGTCAAAAAGGCAGACAGGTAAGTCGCAAACTTTCCAACATTGCGCATACGCCCCATCCACCCAAAGCTCTTGTGCTTAGGCCGAGCTAAATGCGAGTAAATGGGACAGGCCGGTTAAGTTCACATAAATTTTAAGTCACTCTTTAGCCACTTTACAACACTGTATAATGGCCGGATGTGTTTGGGGTTGTGTGTGGTGTAAAGTTTATGGTGCCAACATGCTTAGTTGTTAATCATACGACATGTTGTACGCGCCGTTGGGGGCCAAACTATTTGCATTTAGTGTGAAATGGCGCTGAATCCAGCTCTGAAAACTACTCGGATATGTGGCATGGGTATACACTATTTGTAATACGTGTAGCGAAAAAGTAATTGATTTATTTTTGAATTTGTTTTTTTTATCATCAATCGAATTCAGATTTAAATAGCAATAATTTCGGGCATTAAATTAGGTGCTGTTTGTAATGAGTGTAGCGAACTTAATTAATCCACAAAGTGTAATTGATTTATATGTGAATTTCATGATTTATTTTATTCTTAAATCCGATGACACTAATTTTGCCATTAAATATGTTTTTTTCTAAAATTATTTAATTGTCTATATACTTACTTAAGTTCTTACTTATATTTGAATTAAATTTTAAGATAAAAAGTTTGTGTTCAACATAAATTTATTATTATTTGAAAAAAAAAATGATTTTAACAGCTATATTTAAAAGGCAATTATCAATACAATTCTTTTTTAATAAAAAACCACACGCACGATTAATTGTCCTTAAAAATTGAGTGGATATCAGGCAGTTCGAAAGGTTTGTTTGTTTTTTTATAGGAATTTATTAATTTATTTTATTTTGTACGTAGGTTGATCTGATGTCAGACCTAAGCCTTATAAATTCTATAAAACAGTCGATTTTGTGATGTTCCGAGAAGTTGTTCTTGAAAACAAATGTTTCTGGTGTAAAATGTTTTTGTTTATGCTTTCATTTTCATATGAATATAGAAAGTTTAATAAAAGTGGTGTATAAAAAAAGGAATATAAAGAGATAATGGCTTTTGTTGCTTCAACTAAACTCTGGAAGAAGCTTGCATAAAGGTCTATTCTTACTGACTCTCTATAAGTCTCTGCTTTCACCTGAAGGCACATAAAATTCCAATCATTAACAAAATTTTTGTTACAATTTTACGAGGCAGCTTCAAATGTTTTACTTTGTTATAAAAATAAAAAAAAAATGGTTAAGTCTCTTATTACACTGTAGGAGCTTTAAGCCAAGTCATCATTTACCGACCGCACGTTGAGGTGGCCACTTGCTTATTGGCTGGCCATTTAAGCTCAGAGCTCGGCCATGTTGAAGCGGCATTCATTTCCGCAATTTAACTTCAAATCAGGCTAATAACCTTTTGTATAGCTGCCCAACAGCATTTACGATTCAACATTCACCTTAAAAGTAGCAGACACAACAGCTTTATTACGCTGACGCGTTGAAATATCTGCTGAACATTACTCAAGCAGTTTATTGGCCGCCAGCCGCCAGCAGCCAACAGCCAACCGCTAGTCCCTAGCTCTGTCATTTTTTATAACATCAGCAACAACAACAACAACAAGAATGCCACCAAGAAACAGACAAGGACGAACTGGGACAGCTCACCTGACAAATAAAGCGTTCGTCAGCAGTCAGACGAAAGAAGATGATGATGCAGGACAGACCTTGGACTTCGAGAGTGATTGACAATTGTGGCGCCAAACAGAGAAGAACAGAGGAGAAAAAACTCACAAAATTCGGGGCACAGCAGGTGCCACAACATTTATCAGCAGCCTAAAAGCAAGAAAAGAAGGCTATGCAGAATTTGAAAAATTATATATTATTTGGTGGGCGTTGATTTAAAATGCGTGGCACTCGCTTTGCCGGTCCTTTTTGGCGGCCTTTTTTAGCATTAACCCGGACAGATAATACCATATACAAAAAAAAAAAAAAACAACAAAAAAAATGAAGAAAGGAAACTTGTGCTGCACCCTTTGGAGGCAAACAAAGCATTTCTGGTGACCGAAAGGGGGGGAGATGCCTGACTGAATGATATTTCTTTGTGAATAATGATTTGCCACTTGGGAGCTCTTGTAAATTAGATGCTGTGCTTGTTGTTTTCTTGTTAGTAGCTTTCGCTTTTGGGCCGCTGCTGGCGACAGTGTAAATATTTAATTTGCAAAATATCTCAAGCGGAAGCTCAACGCAGTCGACCTTTGAATTTATTTTTGCCGCTTTGTGTGTTTTCCGCCTTCTTTTTTCCCATGCACTTTCCATCCATTAACCATTGTGAGCGTGTATATATCCTTTTTATTATTTTCACATTTTGGCTTTATGTTGCCGTTGCTTTGCAACTTCTTATGCTGTTGACTTATACAAACGGCAGGCGCCGGCATCGCGTTTCGGACAGCCGCCTCCGCACTTCACAATAATGAGCAAGTTAATTGAGGTGACAATTGTTGCAGCCGGCAATGTTGAGACCCGCTCGCGAGTGCTGGAGCAGCAGCTGTTCCCCTTGAGTTATGGCATTTGGATCATTTTGTTTTATTCTCGGATACACAGCAACCCTCTTCACAGAGGCACTCAAGTAACTTAATATGATTTACAGCCCTCAAATTGACAGCGAGAGTTAGTTCCAAGGGTGGTCACGTTCCCGCAGTAATTTACCTAAAAATAGACTTTAAGTAGCACTGGGGAATGTGGACACTGGAGAGTGTTAAGCTTTATGGCGACAACCTTTCCCCCGCTTTGAAATATTATCCTAAAAATATATTCCATCAACAATGCGAAACATAGAGTATTGTAGAAAATATGAACAGACTTCGTGATGAGCTAAGCTTAGAAATCTAGGTTGAACTAATTTGTATTATTATTTAAGAAAACAGTATTTGCCATAGACATGGAAAGGCAATACTTTAAAGTTTAAACGTATTTGTATTTCATGTTGCTTACCATTAAGCATTACCATTCTTTATATTTGTTAATTATGGGCAGCCATTCCACATAATGTGGCGATTGTGATTTCTGAGAGTAAAGATATATGCCAAAGGTGACAGACTCGTGTGCTTTTCTGTATATATAATAATGCAGTCTTTTAATACCCCTTTTCAATTAAAAATTGTTTAAAGCCAATATAACAATATACATACATAGAAGTATATGAAATTAATTCCTCTTCAGTGATGCATTAAAAAGTGCTCTGGATTACTGTATGGAAGGTTAAAATACCAGCAAAGGCAGCATCTGAACACTTTTTCCTCTACTGTTAACACCGTCCATCCATCATTTGTTTCTCCAGCATTTGTTTATGATAAACAAAAATTAATCAAAAGCAGTATGGGCTTAAAGCCACTCAGCTTGGAATATAGGTAACTTGTCTTGCATTAATAATAATTAATCAAAAGAATTTAAATTTTTTTTTCGATAATTGCGCTGATGTGTCTAAAGTTTGAAAACAATATTTATAAATACTACATGCCGACACACCATTCCACATTTTTTAATAATTTAAATCAATTTGTCTACACGAGCTGTTGGGCCACATAAAAATGTTACAAACTGCTCCCTCTCTCATATCTGGCTACCAACTTGGCGTGCTCGTCCTGCTTGCCTATTCATGCTGTCGTCTGCTCATAAATTCTACGCATAAATTGGTCACACTTACTATATATGTAAAATAAAGGAGAAGCAGCTGGTGCTTGCTCTCTGGGCGCTTTGATAAGCCAAGCGTAGGGCACGCAACCGCAAAAGTAAGAGGCACAGACATGGGCAAAGCCACCGGCTCAAGCTTAGCTCACACCTGAAGGCCTGTTGTTTTTATTAAAAATGAAATAAATTTCCAACAACTTTGCACTTGTGCACCTCTGGCGGAATAGGCGGATGGTGAGGGGCTTTCGGCACAAGGATTATAAAATACAAGCGGATTAGCGCTACCTGTTAGGTCCGAGGATGGCTGCGACTGCGACGACGCAGCAGCTCATAAACGAAGTGTAAAAATCGCCATAAACTCGGTTTTATATGCATGCAGTGCGAGACTTTTAATATAACGCCAAAGCCAACGCCAACGCCGATGTGGAGAACTCAAGTTAACGATTTTTCTAATAAAAAAGGCGCATTAATGAATGCGGCACTCGTAATGTGAACGAGAGGGAGGGTCTGACGCACGATTGCCAACTTGTCTGTGAGGCTACAGCCACAAACTGTGCGTACACTTGAGGCAGTGGCAGGCACCAGAAAAGACAGGGAGGAGACGGAAGCGGGAGGGGGTAGAGCCAACAGAAGCAGTTGTAAAAAAAAAATTCCATCATTAAAAACGTTAATTCCAATTTGAGACTCGAGAGTAGCTCACCACAAGGCAAAAAGGGTAAGAGGGCGGGGGAAGGGGAAAGGGAAGAAGAGAAGAAGAGGAAGGGCGCGTAACTGGGCGCTGATGCAGAAAGTGCTCTTGGCTACCAAATGCTGGGCTATAGTACTCGGTGGTTTTGGGTGGTTGAAGGTGGATGGGGTGGTGCTGGTCGGCAGGTCGCTGGTGCGGTCTGGCCGTTTAAATGAAATTGCGAAAATTCATTTTAAATTGGATTTTATTTAATTTGACTGCGGCAAGAAAAGCTTTATGTGCGTGAATTGTGGGCGTTGTGGGCGTGGCAGCTACTACCGCTGCCAATCTAATTTGTGTGACCAGGCTAAGGTAGCAACGGCAATAGAAGTGGGAGCAGTAGCAGCAGCAGCAGCAAGTAAACGGCGAGGACATCAACGACAAGGACATGAGCATGACTGCCCGCAGGCAAAATTAATCTATTTTGCTTGACGTGGCCGCAAAGTCGCATATAATTTCATGCGCTATAATAGCTACAGTCAAGCTTCATCAAAATGATTCCTCAGAAATGCAATAAAAACCTAACTGATGCACACTCAAGCAAATTAAATTAGTTGTACGACAAATTATACTCGAACTTAGGACAGAAAGCGCATAAAATAGCACAGGGCTTTACATTTTGG